ATTTTTCATTTTGCAAGCCAGTTTTGCCGATTACCTGTTGTAATTGTCTTGTGTTACAGAAGGGTCAAGGGAAAATCGATAAGGAGGATCTGAAGGAAGTCTGCCACCAGTTTAACATGATCATCAGTGACCCAGTGCTTGATGATCTCATGGATTACTGTGATGTTGATAAAGACGGACTGATCAGCTTCATGGAATTTTCCAATTTTCTTAATTGGAAAGACAAACTGCCAATCAACCGGGTGTAGCAGAAAATTCTCACAGGAGGTGAATTAAATGTACTTGCTCACAAAGTCTCTATTAAGTCTCATGACAGATCTACCAAAACCTCATAAAAATTCCAGTATAAAGTCTTTTGGCATTTTATGTTTTTTTTTCAAATACTGTTCTGCTTCAAATCAATGTTTTGAGCATAATTGGTTTGGTTCAAGGCTTGAAATATTTAAAATTGATCTCTTATCTTGTAGAGCGGAAGGCTTGGACAGCCCCAGCTAACATGCAGCGCACAGACCTCCAGGAATCCAGCGCCGTGAAGCCTTTGATTAGACCTGAAGATCTGGAACCGGTTGAGGTGGGGAGCGCCAGGAAGACTCCAAAAACCCTGTCTAGGCCCAGAACTGTGCAGAACAACTTCTTCACCTCGTCTTCTCTCATCAATGCTGTCGTAGGTGGACTTTTCCCAGCCGGTGAGTCTCACACAAAACCTTTGAATCTCCTTAAACTGCCCAAGTATTCAAGTTACACAAAAACAGCCTCCATTTTTTTTAAGGTGTTGCTTAACAGGTCTACTGTAAAGTCTACTGTAGCATATTTGAAATTTCTACGGCCTCTAAATTATAAATATGCTGAAAACTTTGCTGATAAACCTGTTGCACACAATCTGCAACATGACTTCTGTTGTCTGATTAATATAGTTTATATTTTAGTACAACTGTACAAACATCTACTTTTAGCTTGTGGTTCAAATGTCTTTTTGCTGTGAAATCTGATCTGATTTTTATAAGGTAAACGTAAGAATAACTTTTACATTTCAAGATGAACACTTAATGGACTGAAGCAACTTAGCTGGACTTCATTTGATTTGACTTGATTATCCAGACATAATTACATAATTTTTTTAAAAATATCATCAGGCTTTTGAGGAATGTTTTTGTTCATCTCTTATTCATCAGCTTTGATCATAAAACTAAGCATTTAGGTATCAATTACTTACTATGGTGTATTATTATGAGACATAGAGTGACAACCAATATTTAAATAATTTCATCTATAGTCTGCTTTACTGTTATAAAGATCTCATTGATTTACATTACAAGCATCAGAATTTCATCTTACTTTTTGGTCATAGAAATATCAGCATCTGCTCCAAACTGCATATTTTTCTCCGAGCCTTTGACTAAAACTGAGCTGTGTTTTTCCCCCTACATCATACTATATGATAAAATATGAAATATAATACTCAACAAAATACTCACATGCAAACTATATACAGTATATTTTATTTAAAGGTTCAATATACCGTTCCATTTAAAAAAAAAATATATATATATTATTTCATATGTCAGGCTTTGCAGGGTTAAAATTACACAACTAGAAAATGAAACTTAAAGTACTATTTTATAAGTTTCTTCTGATTGCTTCTCTTTCATAGATGATCACACATACGGAGTACCAACTGTACGGGCCGATCTACCTGCTCCTCGTATCAAACGTGTCAGCGACATGACAAACTACGGAGACGAAGCAACAGCACATAATCTGCTGCACCCCACTCTGCATTCCCTCTACGGAGTCCATGAAAAAGAGTTTTTTAGTCCTCGCACTAAAGATGAGGTGAGTTTTGGATGACGTTCATGGTGACGTATGTGTGGAAAGCTTTCGAAATGTGCTTGGTGAACTACGGGCAAATTAAACACAACATTTGAGTATTTTTATTTTATTTTATTTATAATCCACCGTTAAATAAAGACTTGCATTAAAAAGTGTGTTCCTTAAGAAATTAGTTTCAACTTGCAAGCAATGCTTGGTGACACCCAGTGTTATTTTAGTATAATTTCCATTATAGTTTTTATTTATCTTTGGAATTACTTTTTATTTTTATATTTTCTCTTTTCACTTACATTTAATTAAACAGTTAATAATTTTTTGCGTTTGTGACATTTTTATTTGTCTATATCTTTATTAACTTTATGAACAATTGTATTAATAATTTATTATTATTTAGTTCAAGTTTTTAAACTTTTTTAAAAATGGTTTTAGTTTAAGTTTTAGTTAACTATAAAAACCCTGGTGACTCCATAATTCAAAGTTTGCCTTCATTCAGATCATTTAGGAGAAAGTAACATCAAAAAATGACAAGTAAAAGCAGGTGAGGTAAAGCTCTAGGTGCCTTTCATGGGAATAATTCGGTAATATGATAAATGCAGAAATTGCCTCTGGAAAGGTTTGTTTCATTTGTACAATAATCGGTGTGGACACACTAAACTAGTAATCATTACTACAGCGTGAAGTGGGTTCAGACCCTCATGACTTCTGCAACTGCAGTATTTTATTAGTTCAGATCCATTATTGGGTCAGCGGTAATTTCGGCCATGTTATTTGTTTAATATAGTCTCTTGCCAAATGAAGCAAAGTGCTGCAACGGGCCTGACTGCAATAAGAAGTGCCCTCAACGTAGCGTAATAATAGCTCAGCTTAGTAATGCATTTTTGCCTCCCAGGATAGCATTATTGAGTTTACTTGAGTTTACGTATGCTGCATTTAGAGTTTGAGAGAGATGGAGATTTCTGTCAATTACCGTTTTCTCCCAAAGGACTTTATCACACACTGATGATAAGTGGGAGTCTGTGTGTGTGTGTGTGTGCTTTACCCAATGTAGTTTGGGCAAGTGTTGTAATCTGTTATGAATAATAATATTATTTGCTGCCTGGATATTAGTATACACCTATTCCTTTGCTGGTTATCAGGTCAATTATTACATCTCTTGGACTAGTGAATCTCAATCTCTTTTGTTTGACACATTGAACATATTAATACACATCCTGCTCCTTTTCACAATCCAATCCATATTCTATAGTTAAAATGAAGTCCTGCCCAACATTTTGCCTATCCTGTCACTTGAAAATATGTCAGATTACAGAAGTTAAATGGGTTTTGAGCTGCATTTCATGTTGACTTTTAAACGCACAAGAGTAGAGATGAATTCATCTGCCTAATTTGGCAACATCAATATAACCCATCAGAAATATGAGTTAATGTTTAGTACAATAAAGAAATTAATAATAACAGCAGAGTCCCTAATCCATGATAAAAGCCTAGAGGAGTGCAAAATAGCTTTGTAAAGCACATTAATGCTTATATTTTCTTTTGTTCAGTTCACTTGTAGTTGAAGCCAGCATGATTAATTGCCTAATATGGTATTAACATATTTATTTCAATTGAAACAGGAGGTATGATATTCACTGTTAATCATATTATGACTTGTTTGCACACATGTGACAAAACACCCACGCAAGTCGAACAGAACAATCCATTACTGCCTGCAAAAATTATAATAATCCCACAGCCATATTTCTAAATGATTTAATGAATTTCTGTCAACGATAATTCGATGACTCCCTGTAAAGCCATGAATGCATAAACAATGACATGCCATAAAAGAGTTTTCCACAGAAATAGGATGACATCCATGCATGGGTGAGAACGTCTTCCTGTCAGTTTAACAAAGGATTTATTTTAATATCTAAATTAGGTGATAATTGGTCTCAACAACCATCTGTGGTTCTCTATGCTCTGAACATATCAAATATCATAATTAATTGTGGTTGTTTATCTTGTTGCAAATCTCATTTGCTTGATCTGGAAAAAAAAGTGACTTTTTCAGTACTGTTTTGGTGAGGTATCAGTTTAATTCCAGTCTCTGCTTAATGGACGTGCATTAGACAAAGATTTGACACAGAAATTATGTTTTTGAAACTTGGAAAATGCAGCTCTGTAACGAACTTTCGCCCTAATTAATCACATGACCCAAGGACAGCTGTAACATTTTTTAAAAATCGACTAAAGTCACTAATATCAATATAGATGTTTTATAAAAGCCAAGTAAATGAAGCCAGTTTTCAAGATATTGTGAGCTGTTGTGAGATTTTTATGACAATAAGGCACATTTAAAGCCATCTCATCTCATTCCCATTGTATGAGTTTATTTTACTCTGATTTTTAATAAAAAAAGAAATATCATTGCATCCTGACAGATCTTTCTCATTGCATTACAGTGATGAGAATTAAATTTTGTCCACATAATAGACAACTTGGTTGTGAAACTTGCTTATTTAAGAAAATGCAGAAAACCTTAATGGTTCAGAAAAAAAATGGCTTCATTATCTTTATGCAATACATTTACAATGTCAATTTCAATTGAACTAAACTTTGACTAATACATTTTTTTTTCAAAACAACAACAACAATAAAAATACCATAACATAACAGTTAATTCTGCCTTGTAATTTTTTTATGTTTATTTTTTTTTTAATTGAAATATCAAGTGCTTTCTGGACCCATCTGAGCTCCAACACAATCTGTTACTGTGGATGTAAAGGTGACTTTGCTGGAGAAACATGGGAGTGATTCTTCGACCTTGTTTATACTGGAATTAAGATCTGTTTCAGGTGATCTGATCACAAGTGGTCAGTGCTACAGTACATAAAGTACAGGATTGGATCCAAAACATGCTGTGATCCGATCACTTAAATCACATTTGTAGTCAGAATGTGTGAACTGATATTGTAGCAACAGTGAAGCACCTACTCGCATGTCAATCAACCACTGAATTACAACATGGGTTTTAAACTTTAAGAGATGCTCAGAGACCCTCCCTTTGAAATCCAGTCATAAGAGAGTCATTTGAGACGAGTTACTAACAGCTGTAAACATTGATGTTCTTCACCTGACCGTTTGTGATCATATCACCCAGGATGGATGAAATATAAAGTGAAAACAAGGTGTTTGTTTTAGTCTGGTAAAGTGTATTGTGAGGGGTCATGTGTGTTTTACTCCAGTTGCTTCCAGTGCCATATTCGGGTCACCATCCACTCTGGATCAGCTCCAGCAGTCAACTCACGATAAAATCTTCAACAAACACATAAGCTGTTAATATTTCCTTAGGGACCAGAAAATACCTTTAATGTACTTTTTTCTTTCTTTCTGGAAACGCTGGATAGTATGGAAGCCTGTTTCCGCCATGGGATACAAAAATAAAAAGGTAACTGCGATTTATTATCTCACAATTTAGCCCCCCTCATTTATATATCTATTGTTAGATATAAATTAGCAATTTTGAGAAGAAAGGTCATAATTGTAAGATATAGACTCACAATTGCGAGAAAGTTAAAATTCTGAGATACAAAGTTGCAAAAAAAAATTTATTCCATGGTGGAACAGAACTGAGAGATGTAAATCCAGAATTCAGAAGAAAAAATAATCTGATATATAAACTCAGTCAAAATATATTTTAAAAAAGGGCAAAATTGCAAGATAAATACTAAATACTATAGAAAAAAAAAAGTTTATATTTTGCAATTCTGACTTTTTTTTTGTCTTAGAATTCTGCGTTTACATTCACAATTCAGAGTCGAAGAGATTCAAATTCAGACTCCGATTTGGTAAAGAATCATTCAGACCCATTTATGAACCAGTTCGACTGATTCACTTAAAAGAATCAACTCAAAAAATGATTCACTTTGGCTTGCATGCAAAGTACATGAACAGTCCCCTTGTCTAAATACCCACACTTGCGGTCTTGGCCACTTGAGAGCGCATGCGCGCGACAGGAAGTAAGTGCGCAAGACTGTCCCAAGTCTTAAAAACGGCAAAGCACAGTGCCCTTAACGCACACTGAATCCACACTATCTCGAATACTGCCCTGGAGTGCTATTCGAGGCTTGGCGTATCCCATCATGCATCATGTTCTGGAAATAAATCGTGAGACTTTTTGCCGAGATCTCGCGAGAGGTCACGGAAACCTTTCAATGTCAGTTAAATATTAATATAATAGGCTAATTAGATATTATATAATTTGGCAGAAAAACAAAGTGTTGCACGTTTTATTGGTGCAAAGATGAGTAGTGGTGATATTTATTTTGTACAACATTTGCAACTGCTTTTTATCACTTAATTAGAATGAACAGACATTTAGAAGTTAATTTTAAAATGCTATGTAAACACTTGCATTTTTACAACACTATAACTGTGTCCCATCAGGTAATGAAAAGTTCTACACACACTTGTGTTCTTCATGCTCACTTGAACACTTGGACCAAATACAGGAAATAAGTCATATAAGTAGTCAAGTGGTCAAGTGCAAAGACCGGAAGTGTGGGTATATGGACAAAGCAAGTATCTAGTTGATGAAATGTTAAAACGGAGCATAACTAGAAAAATATATATTCTATATAGTAATATGCATTACTTTTTTGTCGTGATTAATCAGTACAAACACCAGCAACCGGATATTTTGTCAATCTGACAAATTACTTATTACGGAAAAGCTGTTGCATTGCACCTGATGAAAATGTGTGGGGGAAAAAGGTAAGTATTGATTTATTTTGACAATTATCCATAATTTCAACATTGGTGCATCTCTATTGCAATGCAATGGAAAATCTGGGGAATTTCATATATCAAAAGAACTCAAAGGGTGTCAGAACTCAAATCACACAACAGAAAAAAGACAGGTGCGAAAAAACGTGTCACATCAGACCCACACTAGGGTGATCTTAAGTATGACACTTTCACAAAGTTAACTTAGAGACAGCACTCTAGCTGAGCGACAGCCGAGTAAAACGTGCTAATGTGACAGATGGAAAGATGTTTTGAAACACGAGAGAAAGAGAGGAGTATGCAAACAGCTGAGAGCGAACCTATTAGCATCTATATATCCATCAAAGCACTGCGGAAAACAAATGTCTGTCATAAGGGAGAAATCCATTAAGTACATTTAAGATCATTTGAAGCTGTGCTGGCATTCATCAGTCAGACTTATGACTGTGTGCAGTTTACGTCAACGCTCACCAAAATCTGTGTCTATGGGGAGGAGAATTTGTCACGCGAGGTGCTTTCGCGGAGACGGTTTACAAGTGCAATGAAATGAAGAGCGTTTGACTTCTAATTATGTTTTGAGTGTGACTCTTTCAGAGTCGTATATGAAATTTACTCTAGAGTGCCAAGCATGCAGCCGCTATATGCATGTTTGGACTGTAAACTAAAGCGGCTATAGCAATTTAGTCACATAAGTGGTGCATAAACATAAAGAAACTCAAGGAGAAGATCACAACACTAAAATGTTCATAAGATGAATGTCAAAAAACATGTCCAGTTCACATTTCACCCCCAAATCAGAAAGATTAGAAGGAAAGAATGAAGAATATGATGCTTATTTATATATATATATAGTGCTGTCAAACGATTAATCGCGATTAATCGCATCCAAAATAAAAGTTTTTGTTTACATACTGGTATGTATGTGTACTGTGTATATTTATTATGTATATATAAATACATACACATACAGTATATATTTTGGAAATATTTACATGCATATTCATTTATATATTTATATTCTCGTATTTTATATTATATATAAATATATTTAATATATAAACATAACATATTTTTGTTAAATATATACATGCATGTGTTTGCATTTATATATATACATAATAAATATACACAGCACACACATATATATTATGTAAATGAAAACTTTTATTTTGGATGCGATTAATCGTTTGACCTAATATATATATATATATATATATATATGTTTAATATAAATAATAAACATTTATAACTAATCAAAAAGTAATATTTTATGCAATTTAAATATAATTATTTTATTTCTAGATTTGTTGGGTTTGTCTTTGATATCTAGCTTTAGATTCTGTAACATCACATTTATTCGTGCACGGCTGTGATGATCTTTTGAGGACCATCATCTTCACTTAAGTCCTTCTTTAAGTTTTTTGTTTTTATACAGTTTTGTAATACATTTTATACATTTTAAATCAGTTTGAGTTATTTTAGTACATGAACTAAATGAAAATGAGAAATGTGGCCTTGGCAAGTAGCTGAAAAGAGGTTTTAATTTTATATTTTATTATAGTTTTAATATTGAAAAAATCATTATAAATTGTTTTTAATGTCTATTGTTTTTTTTGTTTGTTTTGAATATTTTAGTACCCTTTTAGAATATGATATTATATATAATATTATAATATTTATTATATATATATATAATATACATACATAGACACACATATACATATATAGTTCTTCATATCATATCTAGCTTTAGATGTATTCTGTCACAGCACACTTACTCGTACACAGCTGTGATGGTCTTCTTTTGAGGACCATCGTCTTCAGTTAAGTCCATCCTGAAGATGCGGGTGCTCTCTGGGTCCTCAGGTACGTCTGCGCTGGACAGATACCAAAGCCTCATCGTGATGTACAGAAACTTTCTGCCTAGGAGAACAAAAGACGTTCAACCCATCAGGATCAGATGCATTAATCTAATGTTATAATATAATGATTAAATGAGAATAAGGTGAATTTTAAATTATTTTACTTCTAATTTATGAAGAATCTTTCAGTCATTTTTTTATTTTCTCTAACCAAATATGTCAAACAATGTATTCTAATTTGTAATCCATTTCTAGATTTTTTTCCCTGTGTACCCAATATCACTTTTTTGTAATATCTCTTTAACAAAAGCCTTAATGACATCATCCTCCAGGAAGTGACATCACTTTGGAGCTGGACAGATACCAAAGCCTCATCGTGATGTACAGATTCTTTCTGCCTAGGAGAACAAAAGACGTTCAACCCATCAGGATCAGATGCATTAATCTAATGTTATAATATAATGATTAAATGAGAATAAGGTGAATTTTAAATTATTTTACTTCTAATTTATGAAGAATCTTTCAGTCATTTTTTTCTTTTCTCTAACCAAATATGTCAAACAATGTATTCTAATTTGTAATCCATTTCTAGATTTTTTCCCCTGTGTACCCAATATCACTTTTTTGTAATATCTCTTTAACAAAAGCCTTAATGACATCATCCTCCAGGAAGTGACATCACTTTGGAGGGAAAACATCAGCACCAACAGCAGTGAGTGTTATCAATTGATTTTATATTTAAACGTTCCATCCTGTCTTACATAATTACAGAAATCAACATTACATCAAAAAGTATCACAATAATAATAGTAACAAAAAATAAATATAATAAAAATGTCAACTTAAAATTCTCAATATTTCTTCATATAAGCTTCATATTTCTATCCTTTTAGGGTTTTATCCTGTTCATTTCTTGTGTTTCTAAAGTTATGGTTAATCTTTAAAGTGTCTTTTTTCTAAAAGTCTGCTGTATCCTTAGAAATCCCTTAAGTTACAACACAAGCATATTTAACATTGTTTAAAAGGTTCTGCATAAGAGGAATGAACAGACTCACCGCTCTGGTCAAAGAATACGGACACATCCTCAGGCAGCAGAAATATAATGTCATCGAGGGAAATGGCAAGATGTCTTTGTTGGGCCTCTGACAGAGTTTTATATTTCTTTCTGACACTGTCAACAGCCTGTAAAGAGAAAAAATATATATCTATAGGCCTTATATGACTTCAAACGTTTGCCAAACCAGTAATTTAATGAACTAACCTCCTTCGACATTACACTCCTTAATTCATCAAACTTGCCTTTGGAGAGCATAGTAGACACATGGACTGCTGCCTGTGGAGAGAGTCAGAGAGATGTCAGTCATAATCACAATTTAGTGCTTTATTAGTCATAAACAGATATATCTGCCAGGCTGCATTTGGCCATTTAGAGCTTATCATATTGATTTCTCTTTTAAAGCATTAGTATACTATAATGTAATCAGCATGTAAAATAAGCACTCATTTCATTTCTGAAAAGCTTTTTGTTCTGAAATCTCATTTGCTGTCATTAAATTGCATTATTTATTGGCCACAGTACTCTCTAGACATCCTTATTAGAAGATCAGTGTTATTTTGATTTTTTTTTTTAATACTTTTGTTTTCATTTTACATTTTATGTTTTAGCAACTGTGTTGTGGTTTTGCCTCTGCTCACTTAAATTTTTTCTGTTTTCATTTTAATTGTATTTAAAGTTTTAGTAACATTGTGTTTTTTTGGTCATTTTTATAATTTTTTAAGATGTCTAATTTTTTTTTATTCATTTTTATTTCAGTTATTTTATTTTATAGCTATTTTTGTACATTAAAATAAAAATGAAAAATGTAACATTGTGTTTTTTGTCATTTTTAAAATTTTTTAAGATGTCTGTATTTATGTACATTAAAATAAAAATGAAAAACGTAACATTGTGTTTTTTGTCATTTTTAAAATTTTTTAAGATGTCTGTAGTTTTTTTTAATACATTTTTATTTCAGTTATTTTATTTTATAGCTATTTTTGTACATTAAAATAAAAATGAGAAATTATGCCTTAGCAACTAGCTGAAAAAAGTATTTTGTGTGCTTTTTGTTTTCATTTTAATTTGGTTGTTCAAGTCATTTTTATGAATTGTTTTTTAATGTCTATATTTTTTTTTATTACTTTTAAAATAAAAAAAGTTTGTTTTTTAAATATTTTTATTTATTTCAGTTAATATTTATCTCATATGTTTTTTTTTTCACATTTTATCAGAGGATATTTCACTTTTTTTTTTTTTTTTTTTTTAGCCAACTAAAATAATCCTAAAAAGGCTTATGATTTGATATGGGACATTTTATCACATCCCATGACATTTTTTTCTGCCATATCATCATACCAACCTGTTTCACACCACTGTCAAACTCCACACTGAACTTCAAGCCAAAACACAATTCAATTAAAAACAAGATCATCTTATTCCTGATCCACGCGATGGGATCCGGGGTGCCCACCACTGTGATGCCAGGATGCTCAGTGTCCTTAGTGTCCCTGTCTGCATCTTTACTATAAAGTCTGCAGTGCTGGCCAGCAGACGGTCTGCGCAGGTGATGCCATGCGCGCTTTGGAGAGGTCGCGCAGCTTGCATGAGGGCGCACGCGCTGATGCCACCATGGTTGGCAGTGGGTGTCGTGTTTAATTGACACAATATCCCTCTTCCACGGACAGGCCAAGAATGCGAGTTCCCGACGTGCAGCCAAACACGTGAATCGTTGCATCACGGACACGCATTTCTTTTGCAATTGCGCAATGCCGATCTGGTCACTGTAAAACTCGTAAATGACAGACGTACCGTCCTCAGTGCCGCTTCCGGCAGCCTTATGAAACTAACCCACTGTACCCATAATGCTTTTGGCTTCTCATCACTTGGGTCAATTCTCCAGTAGATGGAGGCAAAGCCCCGCTGGATGGCATGAGGATGCTGATGGATGGCCTTGCAATGTAAGTAGCATTTATTATGAGAAGTTATAAATAAATAAAGTATACAGTGCAAGTTTTCGTTTAACGTGAATAATCTATGTTGGCCAGAATGTCATATTTTTGTTCACCTAAGTCGTCTCAGGTTGACAATATAACGTGCATTAAGTTATTTGGACACTAAAATCGCACTTAGAAGGATGAATGTCGTTGCATTACATCAAATCTCTTTGTTTGCGCTCAAAAGCGGCATAATGTATGTTCTTCACAAAATGTTATCCTTATATTTGTTTGTACTTTCTTCTACACTGGAAGCTCCTGTCGTCAAGTCAAATTCCTTGTGTGTGTAAACATACTTGGTAATAAAGCTCTTCTGATTCTGATTCTGATATTTTGCTCAGTGACTCAATCAAACGGTGTTTTGGCGGTTTTTTAGGGCATATATGAAGCCAGTTCTCCAAAATTAGACGATCAGAAAATGTAACAATACTTTTTTTTTTCCTTCACTGGGAATAGTATTAGAGACACCGGGGCTAGTTGTCACAAAGTGATTCTTGATGTTATGTCATTTTATGCATAGACACAAGTTCTTGACTACAATAATGACTTCTTTTGTAAGATGGACTCACAAAAACGTTTCAATTTTTTTTAATCAAATACATTTAAAGAATCTTTTATAGAATTGTATGTTTAAAATCTTGCATTTTTTGTCTACGTTGAATTATTATATTCATTATATTGTTGAATGTTTGATCTGTAATTGCACATATAATAGTCGGTGAAGCTAATATGACAGTAACTTTAAATACAACCAACATCTTGACTACAAAAAGGCATGCTGTAATGCTATATGGGGTAAGATGTCACAGTTAAACAGCCTATTATAGGCTTTTAGCCACATTTAAACAATTATTAAACATAAAAATACCAAAACCATTACCAACAAAAATTCTATTTTTTTTTAAATGCATGCATTTCTAACATTTTAAAACACATGTGACAACTTGCCCCGACCTTGGATTTAAGAAAAAAAAACACCCCTGTCCTGAGAACACAGTCTAGTGTGCTTTTAACAAAAATATGACAATAGTGGAAATTTGATTTGATTAAAATTTGAAAACATTTTATATATTCTTGTAGACTTTTGACTCACAGCTGAAGCAAAACCTTTGGGACAACTAGCCCCGGTCTCTCTATTGTTTTATCATTTAACCTAGCAAACTTCTTTTTGCATTTTCCTTCCATCTGCATGAATATGAACATGCATGTACTGTATAATATACGCACTGAACGATATGATGAATGAACTATTAAATAAAAAGAGGGATTTGAGCAGGTTAGGCAAGTGTTCCTGTTGAAATCATCTAATGCAAATGAGTGACACAGGTGGGCAAGCCGCTTTAAAAGTGCCCCCCTCTCCGAAGCTAGCGGCATCACCCAAACACACCTCACAGGTGCACAACATCATTGTTTCAGAAGCTTAAATGTGATCAGCAGAGCAAAACACCATTAAATTCCTGCTGTTTCCGCTGATTACAGGTCATAAGCTTTTGTATTTGCCTGCTATCTGTGTTTTCTTTTGAAAATGATGATTATTCATTCAGGGTTGAGGCATAAAAACCAAGACTACAGACACCTGCACGATTTACCCGCCCCTCCAAATTCTGTGACTATTTTTATTGATAAATAATTGCTATTGCAGCTCATCATTATTGAATTTGCGCTCAGATATGGAAACCTTTCTAAGATGTATTATAGTAATTATCTCTGTCAGTCTGAAATGCTTTTACATCTGTGGCTTGAATGAACAGAATAATAAAAATCTTGCAGCAGTTCCGATTTCAATTAATTACTTCGCCAGAGTGATTACAAACTTTAGGTCGTGATTTTATAGCGGAAAGAAACTCAGATAACAGAGTGCAAAGAGGAAAACGTTTTATTCACACGTAACCTTTTGCATGCTTTGTTATCTGGATTTTATTTTGGACTTGCAGGACAAAAATAGTCTTGATTGCGGTGAACAAAAAGCAAATAATAAATGAAAAAAAGGCATAATTGAAAAACCTGCTTCCAGTTTTTGCCATGACACTCTCGCCATCAGTTTGCATATTAATACAATAACATTTATGCATGAATAGTGTTGTACTTGAGATATGGTATTGTAAACCGTTATCTTACAAAACATTTAAAGCCTGGCTTATATTGGTTTGTACACAAAAATATGAGAGGTATATGTATGAAAACGTTACCATGTCATGAGTGACACACTGTAACTTTACTTTGACGCTGGATAATGAGAGAATCAGTGCAAATGCCAAAGTAATAGTTTCTGATTTTCCCCCCCCAACGGATTATTTTTTTCTTGTTTTTGTATCTATGCATAAATTAAAAAATCTGCTGAAATTTATTATTCATCTGAGATGTGATTAATATGCAAAATTATGCAAATTAAGATGCAATTAGGCTCCAATTCTCTAGTGGAATTTTCCATTATAATTTAATACAAAGTAACAGAGTAATTGGTGTCACGTGTAATTACGGTTACTCAAGTGTACTTTCAGGCATGCAAATGATGCGCTATATGTTGGTTATCCGATGCAAATGTGATGCTTTAACAAGTTGGGAACGCCAAATGTGCGACAAAAAGCTGTGTGGAGCAAAAATATTGCATTTACCTAGTATTTAATGTCCAGTGTCTGTTGTGCACTTTTAATGTAGATACCTAGCTGATATGAAATACTTTTGGAAAGTTGACATGTCCTGCTGTACTTCATTGAAAACTATTTTAAACTGCAAATGCATGCAGCTTCTATTAATTGAGAGCCTGCATGGAATATTTAGACTTTTTAAATGCCATTTAAAATGGCAAAAATGTCCAAAGCAGCTAGACATTAATCTAAATTTGAACCTAAATCTGAATAAAAATATCCCATAAATCTCAGACTTTGCACACAGGTTCAAGTGACAAAGCCAGAGAAGAAGGATAATTTTGAAACTTTCCAGGGCGATTAACACAGACAGGGCTTCAAATTCTGTGACTATTTTTATTGATAAATAATTGCTATTGCAGCTCATCATTATTGAATTTGCGCTCAGATATGGAAACCTTTCTAAGATGTATTATAGTAATTATCTCTGTCAGTCTGAAATGCTTTTACATCTGTGGCTTGAATGAACAGAATAATAAAAATCTTGCAGCAGTTCCGATTTCAATTAATTACTTCGCCAGAGTGATTACAAACTTTAGGTCGTGATTTTATAGCGGAAAGAAACTCAGATAACAGAGTGCAAAGAGGAAAACGTTTTATTCACACGTAACCTTTTGCATGCTTTGTTATCTGGATTTTATTTTGGACTTGCAGGACAAAAATAGTCTTGATTGCGGTGAACAAAAAGCAAATAATAAATGAAAAAAAGGCATAATTGAAAAACCTGCTTCCAGTTTTTGCCATGACACTCTCGCCATCAGTTTGCATATTAATGCAAGTAACATTCATGCATGAATAGTGTTGTACTTGAGATATGGTATTGTAAACCGTTATCTTACAAAACATTTAAAGCCTGGCTTATATTGGTTTGTACACAAAAATATGAGAGGTATATGTATGAAAACGTTACCATGTCATGAGTGACACACTGTAACTTTACTTTGACGCTGGATAATGAGAGAATCAGTGCAAATGCCAAAGTAATAGTTTCTGATTTTTTCCCCCCAACGGATTATTTTTTTCTTGTTTTTGTATCTATGCATAAATTAAAAAATCTGCTGAAATTTATTATTCATCTGAGATGTGATTAATATGCAAAATTATGCAAATTAAGATGCAATTAGGCTCCAATTCTCTATTGGAATTTTCCATTATAATTTAATACAAAGTAACAGAGTAATTGGTGTCACGTGTAATTACGGTTACTCAAGTGTACTTTCAGGCATGCAAATGATGCGCTATATGTTGGTTATCCGATGCAAATGTGATGCTTTAACAAGTTGGGAACGCCAAATGTGCGACAAAAAGCTGTGTGGAGCAAAAATATTGCATTTACCTTAGTATTTAATGCCCAGTGTCTGTAGATGCCTAGCTGATATGAAATACTTTTGGAAAGTTTCTTCTGTACTTCATTGAAAACTATTTTAAACAGCAAATGCATGCAGCTTTTATTAATCGAGAGCCTGCGTGGAGTATTTAGACTTTTGAAATGCATGTAAAAAATGTCCACGTGTAAATTTGAACCTAAATCTGAATACAAATATCCGATCTATAAGTCTCAGACTTTGCACGCAGGTTCAAGTGGCAAAACCAGAGAAGAAGACGAATTTCGAAACTTTCCAGGGCGATTAACACAGACAGGGCTTCTCGAGTGCCTTCGAGATCAGCTCCTTCTTGGGAGGTAAATTGATTTTGAATTGTTACATGGCTGGTTACATGACTTGCTTGACATCTAGCCCAATGACATTATAACACAGATGCTCGCTTCATTGAGCTATGCCTTTCTTTTCTCCCTGTACATCCTCTCTCCCTCTCCTCTCTCGGAACAAAGGCACGGGCTCCCCGCGCTCTCCCTCCACCGCTCCGCCTCCGCTCCGTCCCCCTGCCCGCACAACTCTCTCAAAGAACATAATCCCTCAACAAAAATCGATGCACAAAGGAAACTTGAGCTCAATCCTATAACGCACAGCCGTGGCAGACAATACCCCCCTCCCACCAGCCCATCCGTGCCTCTTCAGGAACGCTAAATGCCCTGTGGCAAAAATCAGTCTTGATCCCTCCCAGCCTGGCTGATTAGAGGCGTCCCGCTCAGGGTTTTGCCCATTAGCGCATGGCACACCGTACGGGCTGCCCACCGTTCTCAAGGGCCCGGTGATTGATTGCTCAAAATGTATATACGT